GTGCAGGTTTTAGGGTTTGGGGTGTGGGTTTAGGGTTTAGGGTTTAGGGTTTAGGGTTTAGGGTTTAGGGGTTTAGGGGTTTAGGGGTTTAGGGGTTTTGGGGTTTTGGGGTTTTGGGGTTTTGGGGTTTTGGGGTTTTGGGGTTTTGGGATTTTGGGGTTTTGGGGTTTTGGGGTTTTGGGGTTTTGGGGTTTTGGGGTTTTGGGGTTTTGGGGTTTTGGGGTGTTGGGGTTTTGGAGTTTTGGAGTTTTGGGGTTTTGGGGTTTTGGGGTTCAGGGTCTAGATTTTGGGGTGTAGGGTGTAGGGTTTGGGGAGTGGGCTTTGTAAAAAATGTCGGGTTCGGGTTTAAGTTTCCAGTTTTGGGGTGTGACCTCCTTCTCACTGTAGTCCTCACCCCTTCTTCAAGCTGCCTGAGTCTAGCAACCTGTTGCTTCGTGGCTGATGAGTACTTCGGCCCTCCGACCTCCAGCCCTGAACCCTACACCCTAAACCCTAAGCCCTAAACCCTAAGCCCGAAACCCTAAAACCCGAAACCCTAGAACCCGAAACCCTAAAACCCTAAACCCTAAACCTACCCTCACCCTAAGCCCTCAAGCCCATAGACCCTTAGTCCTAAACCCTAAACCCTAAACCTACCCTAACCCTAAGCCTTGAAACCGCAAAGCTAGAAGGCCCGCAAATCCTGAACGCGCTGCAACGGACGGTGCCCAAAGTGTCTCACACCCTTAGCCCAGCCATATGAGAGTTTCCCAAAATGGGCACCCCCCTCTTGATACACGACGAGTTTTTGGTATTTTGGTGTTTCAGAATGAGTTTTCTGTTTAGGGTTCGGTTTTGAGGTTTTTGGGGTTGGAAAGAGCAGAAGGATTTTGTTCAAAAAATCCGAGGTTTTGGGTCCTCTGACAAATGCCCAGGACCAGGCCCCTCAACTTCTTTGACCCCCTTGGCTTCTCGAAGAGTGGCTCCTGAGAAGCAGCTCAGGGTTTAGGGTTTAGGGTTGTTTAGGGTTTAGGGTTTGGGGTTTAGGGTTTAGGGTTTAGGCTTCAGGGTATCTTAGGCTTAGGGATATGGCTGAAGCTTTGCCTCAGACTTTATGGGGTTTAGGTGTGCCTTATACAGGGGAGTGCTTGGGCGCCAAGCATGAGTAGATGAAGTACCTCCGGGTAAAAACACTAAACCCCAAACCCTAAGCCCTAAGCCCTAAGCCCTAAACCCTAAACCCGAAACCCTAAACCCTAAACCCTAAACCCTAAACCCTAAACCCTAAACCCTAAACCCTAAACCCTAAACCCTAAACCCTAAACCCTAAGCCGGACCCTCTGGTTGCCTCCTTGGACTCAGGGTTCAAAAACGCAAGAGACGACTCGTGCATTGCGATGTGGTGTCGTTTTTGTTTGCCAAAAAGCAGCATCACAAAGCAAGAACGCCTAGGTTTAGGGTTTAGGGTTTAGGTTTAGGGTCTAGGACCGGGAGTAGGCCTTGTTTTTGCCTTTTTAAAGGGTTGGGGTTCCCATATAATCCCCTCAAATCGAAAAAGGGTAGCCTCTTCTTCCTAGGCTAGGTCCACTCACAGCCATCCGAGGTAGATCGCCTTGTAAAGCACCTTGAATACAGACTAGCATGTCCTGGAATGCTCAGATCTGAACCCTGAGCCCGGCACTACTCCGAATCCCCAAACCCTAATCCGCAAGCCCCAACCCTCAACCCCTAACCCTAGACTCCGAACCCTAAACTGCCCTAAGCCCCAAACCCTCAACCCCCTAAACCCTAAACCCCAAACCCTAAACCCTTAACACCAAACCCACAACCCTAAACCCTAAACCCTAAACCCCAAACCCTAAACCCTATAAACCCTATAAACCCTATAGACCCTAAACCTTGAAACCCCAAAGGGTCACCCAAGGCCTGATGACGTTCCCGGGCGACTCCACGGGATTCAAGCACCTGCGAGCTGCAGAGCCCTTCACGCAGAGAGCGGTGCACTTGCGAGGCTTTTGCGTTTCGGGGGTTTGTTAGTATGTTTTGCGTTGTAAATCAATAAATAAATAATATATATATATATAAATTATATATATACATATATATGTGTATATATATATATAAATTATATATACATATATATATATATTTCTTATATATATATATATATATGTATACGCATTTGGTTTGTTTTATGTATTCATGGTCTAAGGTTTTCCTGCTTGTTTTGCGAAAGGGTCAGTCAACATTGAAGCCCAGGCTCTGTCTAATTGACATGCCGGGCCATTTTTCGCTCAAGTCCCCATCCGAGCCAGCATGCATTTAGAGAAGACGCATGCAACGGTGATTTTGGTCGCTCTTTCCTATCTCTTTCATTTGATTCACACGATACTGGGGGCCGTCGGTCTTGCTGCCCAACATCTCTGGACTGGGATAATTGGTGCATGCGCTACGCTGAAAGGGTCTGTGGGCAGTGTCGCTGGATCAGTGGCTTCCTCCTTTCATTGGGTCTGTTGCTATACACTGGTGATCACACTCGTCACGTGTGCAGTGGGGCATTGCTGGCTCACCTGGGGGAGGGATCGAGTTGTTTGGACAACAACTCCTTTCAAGAAGGGAAAGTGGCGCGAACCCTGGGTGATACCAGGAACCGCTCAAACATCATCACATCGGAGTCGACGCACAGCTACAGCAATGGCGGCAGCTGGAGCGGCAGGAGCAGGCGCAATGGTGCCTGCTGGTGTGGCGCCCAATGTCGTTGGACAGTTCGTGCTCAGATCCTGATTTGTGCCAGCGTGCCACAGCACGCCGAGCATGTTGGGCTGACCACTACGGCCGATGGAAGCAGCTGGGCGTGGGTCGTGGTCAGGTTGGCGGCTGGCAACCATGTCATCCCTGTAGCCAGCCCGGCACATGTCCGCGTACCGCCAGCCGGCGTGCCAGATCATACGGTCAATTGGATATGTGTACCTCCCGCGGCACATGTCAAGTGGACGTGTGGACTGGCCGAGTTTCCTGGCTTGATGGAAGAGGCCAGGCAAATTGCGGCTCGAGTTGTGCAAGATGGCTTGGCACCGGGGCACATCGCTGCAGGTCAGCCAGCGGCAGCTCTCCCCACTTTGATGTATCCGGTGACTTCCATGGGAGCAGGGGCCGGCTTGCTGCCTGTGGGCGGCAACGCTGGAGTGGTCGCAGGGGGGGTGGCAAACCCCGGGGCTGCAGGGGCTCTCGGCTTCAACGCTCCGGAGCCGCAGACCACGCCAGACGAGCTGGCGCGGCTGATGGAGGGCATCAAGTTGGAGATCGGCCGAGCAAAAGGGGAGACGGACAAGAAAGCCAAGAAGAAGAAAAAGAAGGACAAGAGCAAGAAGAGCAAGAAGAAGAAACGAGGGAGCTCCAGCAGCAGCTCTGGGCGAAGCCGGTCTGGAAGCAGCAGCTCGTCAGCAAGCGAGGACTTCCTTCGGTGGCGCCAGGAAGGCAAGACCAAGCGCGTGAAGCCGGAGGAGCTTCGCCGATTGGAAGCACAAAGGTTCAAGGCGCGTGGAGAGCTCCTAACCTTCCCAGAGGCTCCAGCTAGACTATTTACAGACTATATAGTTAAATATTAACTAATAGTTAAAATTAATACTAATTCCTAAAATAGTTAAAAAAATTAACTTTTAACTATAGTTAAAAATTAACTCCAAAACTTCAAAATTAACCCTGAAATTTACTCCGGACATATCGAAGACAACTATGAAAGACATGATCGCTTGCAGCTTTTTTCCACAGACTGTTTGCAAAAAATGGTGTCTCGAAGCTCAGAGTACCGATGGCGATCACTGCTTCTTCTGAGCAATGTGGCCTTGGGATGTGACAAAGTATCCATTCTTTCCCAGAGCAGCGAACCTCTTGCAGCGGCCACATCCTCCAAGCAAGGACCTGCATTTGCTGCAGCCATACCTCTCGAGAAGGATGCCGTCTTCCTGCAGTACTGCAGCCTCCTCGGCTGGCACGGCTTCCTCGGCTGGTGTGGCGGCTGGTGCAGCTGCAGGTTTCCTGAGGGCAGCCGCCGGTTTCTTCTTAGCTGTAGCTGCAGACACAGCCTCCAACCGAGCCTTTTTCGACATGGGCTTAAGCGGGCTGCAGGCCAAAGCTGCTTCGAGAGCTCGCTTGTTGGCTCGGTCCAGGAAGCCTGGCAAAGTAGGAGGCTCTGCAGGCGAGCTGGGGGCAGGCGCCAAAGCTGACGAAGCAGACGAGCTCGGGGCAGGCAGTGCCAACCCCAAGCTTGAGTCTTGCAGAAGCTTGAAGTTTCTCTCAATCTCCTTTTCATCTTCAGACGTGTCCTTTAAGGGCTCCGGGGGGGCTGCCTTGGGGCTTGGCTTCAAGCCCAGGATTGATAATCCGGCAAAGTTTCAAGATGCAGTTTCTCTGCTGCACAGAGGTCTTCTTCAGCATCTTCGCTCGCTCTTTCTCATCGACAGCAATGTCTCGAACCTTTGCTGTGATCATTCGGAGGCGGAGCATGAGATACCTGATGCAAGCCTCCTGCCAATTGGGCCCTGTGGCATTGGCTGGTCGGCTCATCTCGAACTTTTTGTCGTGGTGGCAGCTGAGCAAAGCAGTTTCCAGCATCTTGTGGGGCAAAAGCCCGTTGGAGCAAATCTGTAGAAGAGAGGTCAGTAGGCCCTCCATCGCACAGACTTGTGCAAGGTGGCCTGTGATGGATGTCTTCCAGGTCATGCTTTCCAAGCCATTGCCCATGGTCTCCAGACTACGATGGCCCATTTGCAGGAGGCCCTGCTCTATCCCCTCCTGCAACTTGGAAACAGTAACTGTGTCCAGCACTTTCAACCGGGTTCGGGCGGCGATCTCCATGGCTTGCAGATCTGCAGAAGTTAAAAGCACCCGGGCAGCTGGGAAGTGCTCTTGAGCAAAAAATAAGAAGCAGCAGACAAGTAACATGGGCAGGAAGTCCTACAGACTCGAACATGAGACTTCAGGCCGGACAGTGACGCTTTTTGGAACTGCATGACTGCAGGTCACACAAAGAGGGGTCTGTGAAACTCTTTGTCTATTTCGACACAAATGGCTCTAGCATACTGGCGACCAAATCTCTGCAGGGCTGGCAACTGCTTCCTGCCATTGAGGCAGCTCTTCAGCAGTGTTTTGCAGCGGCTCATATAGTCTTCTCCGCTGTATGCCCACACGTGCTTCGGGTTCATGAACTCGGAGAAGTGTAGACAGTGGATCATCCAGTGAAACTTAAACGTCACCAGGAAGAGACATCGCCCAAGCTTGAGATACTCTTTCGTGAGCTTCGTGACACACTGACAGAGACTGATTCCAGCCACAACCCACTCATCGCTCTCGGACTTGCTGGGATGCCATTCCTTGCAAGAGGACACCTCTGTATCCAAGAAGAAGCTCAGCTCCAGCACCAGATTGGTGAGGATGTGCAGCTGGTTCTGAGGATCCATGTGGCTTGCCCAGACGATCTTGAGTGCTGCCAAGGTCGCCTTGGTTTCGGCTGCTTTGGTCCTGAGGCATGGGTAGTTTTCCCGGCAGCCCTCGTCGGAGATTTTGCCCAAGTACATTCCTGGTGTGAGTCTCCCCGGAGGCCTGTCGCCATGTCCTTGATGGGCCCTGTGTAGCTCTTCGACCAGCTGGAGGCGGTTGGCTGCAACATCGCCCTCCACGACCTTGTGAATCAGGAGCCAGATGACACTTCCGCATATCCTCTGGTCTACTCCGAGGTGCTTTGTGTGCATGAGGTCTGGAAAGATGGAGGCCTGGCAAAGAGTCCTCCGTAGGAGGCGGTGGACTCCATTTCTCGGCACATGCCACGGGTCTACCCCGACCCGGGCCACCTGCTTGAAGGCAAACATTGACTGTCTGCCAACAGAGCAGAGGCCGCATGGTCTCAGGGAATTCCAGCGAGGAAGCCCATGAGCCATGCTGAACCACTCCAAATCCCCTGTGGCGAAAGCCAGCACGGGGAAGGGTCTGGAGTGGCTCGTGCCTCATCAAGGCAATCATCGAGACTCTGGCACAGAAGAGCCCAAAGGCTCTGCACAGTGTCCTCTCCGCAGCTCTTGATGATTTGGTCGCACCAGATCGCAGCAATAAGGTGGTGTTGGCACTTGCTAGCTTGTCTCTCACATAAGAGAGATCGCCAACTCAAGAAGGCACAACTCTTCTGACTGGCACCAATGGCGGTAATCGGGACCCCGTCTCCATGCAGCACGAGAGGCACAGCTCGAGCCTGGTAATCGGGAATCTTTGTTACTGGGTGGTGGACCAGAGCCGGATGGCGCCCACACTGCTGCCAGAATTGCTGCAGCTCAGCAACAGAGGGAAGGCAGAGTTCTCTGAAGGCATCCGGACGTCGAGTCCTCAGGCTTTCGAAAGTCTGCACCGGATCAAAGAAAGGGATCTTACCTGGCCTGGGATTCAGAGGCAGCATCTCATACCTCGGTTGAAGAAAAGGCGTCTGCACTCGTCGTTCCAAATCTCTCCAGAGATTATGGGTCAAGTCGGTGTTGCCTCCTAAACCTGCCAAGGTGGAGAGCTGCTTAGGAACAGTGGCCTTCTTGAGCCTCAATTCATTCGAAGCCAGTCTGGCTGTTGTGCGGACGTGCGACAAGCTCTGATGACCCCAAAGGAACTGTCGGTACAGATGCACAGCCAGCTCTGATTCCTCCTCATCCACGTGCAAAGCGGCAGTGGTCTGCCTTGCACCTTGTCGAGAGCCTCCTTGCACGGCTTCTTCCATGGCCCGTCGCGAGCCTAGGTGAACTGCTGCTAGAAGCCATTGCAACTTTCCAGCTGTAAGCCTGCAGCTGCGGCTGCGACAAGAGCGAACAACGATTGCGACGACGACCAGCACCCAGGACGACCACGACGACCAGGACGACCACGACCACGACGACGACGACGACGACGACGACGACGACCTGGACGACCCAATCCGGGTTTAGAAGGTTTGGGGCTCGGGGGGCTTAGGAGTTTCGGGGTGTCAGTAACGGGGTTCAGGGGTTTGCGCGCTTTGGGGATTGGGTGGTTTTGGAGCTTAGGGGATTTAGGATGTTTTGGGGCGCGGGTCGGGGTTTAGGAGTTTGGGGGTTTGAAGTTTCAGGGCTTGGGGGTTTAGGGGTTTAGGGGTTTAGGGCTTTAGGTTTACGGGTTTAGGGCTTTAGGGCTTTAGGGGTTTAGGGGCTTAGGAGGCTAGGGGTTTAGGGACGACTACTACTACGACGACGACTACTACTATTATTATTTCTACAGCTACTACTAGTAGTAGTAGTAGTAGTAGTAGTACTACTACTACTACTGCTACTACTACTACTACTACTACTACTACTACTACTACTACTACTACTACTACTACTACTACTACTACTACTACCCTAAACCCTAGACCCTAGACCCTAGACCCTAGACCCTAGACCCTAAACCCTGACCGGCAACCCGAAGCCCGAAACCCTTAAACTCTAAGCCCTCCCTAGCCCCAAAACCCAAAACCCAAGACCCTAAACCCTAAACCCAAAACCCTAAACAGTGGAATTTTCAGCTTTAGTTTTCAAAAGTTTCTTGTTATGGGCGTTTTTTTTCCCGGTTCGTTTGCGATTTCGCAAAATTTGCCTTGGGGTTTTTGCTGTGGGGGCTCTGGTTTTTCAAAATCCGAACAAAGAAAAATGGAAGTTTCACGGAAGTTTCCGGGAAACTTCCGTTTTTCAGTGGAAGTTTCCCGGAAACTTCCGTGGAACTTCCACTTCAAAGGTGGAAGTTTCCTGGAAATTTCCGCCGAAGATGTGGAAGTTTCCAGTAAACTTCCAGTCATTGGTGGAAGTTTTCTGGAACTTCCACCGAGGACTGGAAGTTTACTGGAAACTTCCACCGATGACAGGAAGTTTCGTGGAAACTTCCCCTGGTGAGTGGAAGTTCCATGGAAACTTCCGCTGACACAGTGGAAACTTCCATGGAACTTCCGCTCGTGGGTGGAAGTTTCCACGGAAGTTCCGTGGAAGTTTCCGTGAAACTTCTGCTAAACTTCCGCTGTTTGGGTAGTGGGGCTGGGGACCCCGATAAAAAAAATGAAAAAACTGTTAAAATTTCAAAAGGGGTGGTGGGGGGGGGGGGGTGGGGGGACTGGGTTGGGCGGTAGAGGTAGCTGGGTGGGTCAAGCCCAAGCTCTTCAATCCCTCACCCCAAACCCCCTAAACCCTTAAACCTTAAGCCCTCCCCAACCCTAACCCCAAACCCTAAACCCGAGAGCCGAAACCCTTAAACCTTAAGCCCTCCCTAACCCCAAAAGCCTAGACCCTAATAGACCCTAAACCCCAAACCCCCTAAACCCAAAACCCTGAACCCAAAATCCTCAACCCAAAACCCAAAACCCTAAACCCTAATCCCTAAACCCTAAACCCTAAATTCTTAAACCCCAAGCCCTCCCTAACCCCAAACCCTAAACCCCTAACCCTAAACCTTTAAACCCCAAGCCCCAAACCTTTCGGACAGAGTTTTTTTGGAGTCGTGGTGCTGCATCGCTGTGCTTTGGCGGCTTCCACAGAGGGTTTGCAAATTTTTTTTGAGGGCCTTAGCTTGAGTGTACTATTATCCTGGTTTTGCAACCCTTCTGGAGCCCAGCCCGAGCTTGAACCCTGACCCCTCTTTGCTTGAGCTTTCAGCGATCGACTGAGCCCTGAGCTTTCAGTCTGCAGACTGATTTCTCGGCTTTCAGTGACTCCTGAGCCCAGAGCCTTCACTTCTTGAGAACTCGATCGGCCACATCAGCCCACATCTGGCGAAGCAGCTGGATCCCAGCATCCTGCTGGGAGGAGCTGGCCTGGCTGCCCTCAGAGGGCTCCGATCGGGGAACCTTGGGGTTCCTCTCATCCCGAGGCACCAGGCTCACATTGGGGCGGTTGCGACGGTGGGGCTCTTGCGAGGCCTCGGAGCGGCTGGGCAGATTTTTCCACTGCCCGTCAGCAACACGAGCTGCCTGGTCGCGGGGGATGTCATGCTTGCTGCAGAGGTGTTGCTTGAATGCCCGGGCCGAGCTCAGCCACTTCCGGCATCCACTTTTGCCCCATAGGGGGCAAAAAAGCCCGTCGGAGCTGGCCCTCTGGGCGGGCTGGATCTCCGACGGGATGTGGGTGATCAGGTGGTCGCTGCCACTCTCATCATCTTTACCACCCTCCCCGGCCTTCTGCTTCTGCAGATCTTCCTTGGCAACCTCGAGCTTCTTTCCAAGCAAAGCCTGCTTCTGCTTGTCCTCTTCCTCCTGCTCGCTGGCAACGGAGCAGGCCCTGTCTGGGAGGTCTACTCCTCGTTGGCTCCGCCTGCTCGTGTCTTCACTGTCTACAGATGTCTCCCGGACAGGGATCGGCTCCTCCGTGTGCCGACCACCCCTCTCCCTTTCCCTCTGAGGGATAGGAGAGAAGGGGCTCCTGCTGGGAGGGGGCATATGTTCAGGGCTCGAAACCACCGACCAGCTTCGTGGTGATCGGGACCTCGACCAGCACGGCGGCGAAAGGCACCTGCACAGAAGACGGCTTTGGGGGGGGCTTCAGTTTTTTTTTGGGCTGGCTCGGGTATGGGGCTTCGCCGTTTTCTCCTGGAGCCTCGCCGCCAAGCCTCCCGAAAAGGAGTGGTCTGGTCGAGGTGTCCAGGTCTGGGAGTGGTCTGGCCAAGATCAACAGCAAACCCCTCACCGCCAAACCTCCTCTAAAGAGGAGTGGTCTGGTGAGGGTGCTGCGACCTTAGCCACCAAGCCTCCCGTGATGGTTTTTTAACTTTGAGGTTGTCTGTTTTGGCTGGCTTGGGTTTCTAAACCTATAAGCCCTCGAAGCCCTCAGCCCTTCAACCTTAAGCCTCTAACCCTAAACCTGACCTAAGCCCCTGCAGGCCTCGGGGCTCCCAGGACCATACAGGTCCCACCTTTGCTCCTTGAGCTTTCGCGGCTGCAGCACACACAGTCAACGACACAGCTTGCCGAAAAAAGCATGCTCCACGACCCTGCTCCCAAACCCCCTAAACCCCCTAAACCCCCTAAACCCCCTAAACCCCCTAAACCCTTAAACATCCTAAACCCCAAACCCCTAAACCCTTAAACATCCTAAAACCCCTAACCCCTAAACCCCTAGACCCCCTAAACCCCCTCCACCCCTAAACCTCCTAAACCTTGAAAGAAGCTCGCTTCAGGAAGACTCTGCTCTGTTTTCGCTGCTACAGAAGCCCCAGCCCATGTAGTTGTTGCATTGCGAATTTTCTTTCTGAGAAAAGTTCAGCTGGGATTCCAGCTGCAGCCCGATCTGATGGGAACGATCAAGGCCGGAACTGCGATTCGAAATCGCTTCGCTCGATGGAGCAGTCCTAGTTCAAGGCACCGATGCTTTTGATCAGCTCCTGCACTTGCAGCAGGCATTGGCTGGCTTGCTTCATCACTTGTCTGATGCCACTCACCGAGGCCTTGCCGCTCAGCTTCACATGCTCGAGCTGGGCCTGAAGTGGCAAGAGCTCGAGCCACCGACAGTCCAGCTGCTGCTTGAGGTGGGTGTAGGTCACCGAGCCCTCGTTCTTCTTCAATTTCAACGTTGCCTGCTTGGCAGAAGCAACCCAGTTCAAGGCATCCTCGAGTTTGGCGAGGGTCTTGGGTTCGGCCGGCATGAGATCCACGGCACCGTCGCAGATCGCCAAAGGCCCTTGGAACACTGCCGGCTTGCTTGCCATGCTTTCAGCAGGTGCAGCAGCAGGCCAGGCCGAGGTCGCTGAGAGAGGCTGGGGCTCAGGTGGCACTCGGTTCGCATTCTGAGGGCTGAAGATAGCACCATTCGGGTCAAGAGAGTCAGTCAACAACTCCGGGTTGAAGTTCTCGCAGAAGGCCAAGAAGTGTGCCTCGGCCTCCGGGGCTGCAGCAGCCTCTGCTTCCTTCTTGTGGTTCGTCTCAGACCTAACGGAACTTGAACAGCTGCTTGCCGTTCTCAGTCGTGGCTTCAATATCCCCGTCCCTGAGTCCCCGAAGGAAATTCTCCTCCCCGGCGCATTTGCCAATCATGATGGCTTTGGGATACGCCTTGTCGCGAGTGGATCCAGTGATAGTGCTGTAGCTGCTGGTCAAGCTTTGGAACACCGGCGGCCTGCAAGCGAATTCCCATTTTCCGGTGGTGGGATTCACCTGTACGGACTCGTTGACCAGGCGAGTCTTGTCTGTTCGAGACACCTCGTGCGACAAGAACAACTTTTGCACACTTTCCGGCAGCTTTGTCAAGTTGGCCTGGAAAAACCTCGTTTTCCTTTTGTCCCTTTTCTCGCAGACCTGCAGCTCCTCGTCGGCCGGCTCCTGCTCGGCTGGCTCGGTCAAGAGGTCGTCTGCCCTTTTCTTGAGTCTAGCAGCCGCACTCAGCTTCGCCGGCTTCTCTTCCTTGTCTGTGTTCTCTGAGTTCCCGGCCTGGCTCTTCTGCTTTTTCAAAGCTGGGGTCTCGCCCTCCTCTGGCTCTGCCTGCTTTGTCTTGTTGCTCTTCTTTGGCTCGGCTTCTTCCTCTTCGGCTTCCAACCCCGGCTCAGTCGCCTGGGAGGCTGCAGGTTTTCCCTTGGCCTCGGCCTTCGCCTTAGCCTTAGCCTTCGCCTTGCCTTTGGCTTTCGGCTTCGGCTCAGTCTTTGCTTTGGCCTCCTTCTTGGCCTTGGGAGTCGCCTTCGCCTTAGGCTTAGGCTTAGGCGATTCTTCGGCTGCCTCAACGTTCTCAGCCTTCTGCTTGTCGCCTGCCTCAGCTGGCGAGCCTACTTCAGCTGTAGCCAAGGCCTTGGACTCCAAGCTCTCCTCGAGTTTGCTCGCTGCAAACTTCAAGAGCTGCTGAGCCATGGCTGCCCAAAAACGTCCACCGTCCACGAGCTAGTCTCGCTTAACATCAGAGCCCAAACGGCTGCGAGTGCAAATATTTTGTCCGCCCCCCCCCCCCCCCCCCCCCCCCCCCAACGATACTGAACGACAGGCCATGAGGTTTTCGTAGTGAAGTTTCAAAAAACTAACCATCAAAATTGTCTATTTTAGAGTTAATATTTATACCCTAAAAATTAACTATAGTCATTATTTAACTTAACTATATACTGGCAGTAAATAGTCTACCCGGAGCCTCTGGGTTCGCTGCCAAGCATCCGGGCGCTCTGAGCGCGTACTTTTTGTCCATGGTGCATCAGAAGTTGCTACACGGAAGTGTCACCAAGACCTCTCAGCTCCGCAAAGTCAATGTGTCCCAATGGGCCGCCGTTGAGCCCTCAGGGAGGTGGCGACTTTGAGCTACATCATGGACATGATCAACGTGGGGGACTTAGAGACGGCAATGGACGTGATTGCGCAGCGCATCATGGCGATTCAGAAGGCCAAGAGTGCAGGTTCCGACTGGAAGAAGGCCGAGGCGTTGGAGCTCGTTGTGGGCAACAGCTTCGGCCTCCCAGGTGGTATGCTTCGCCTGACTCAGTAAAACGGATGGCTGCGATTTTCAGGCAGGAAGTATCGTCTTGGTCGGCAAAGCCGGCGTGGGGTGCAGTCCTGCAAGTAGTCATCAAAGCTGTTGAGTTAGGTCGTAGTGAACTTGCAAGACCTTTGCAAACTAGCAGGAACCGTAACCGCATTAAGCTTCGTAATCATAGGTCCCCGAAGTCTGTCTTCCCCATTCCTTTCATCCAACGGCATCAAAGCACTGTTAGTGCACCCGGCCTGCGGATCACCGCTCTCATGCTGGACTACTGTAACCTTTTGATCTCTTGCTATAACTTCCTTTACTTCGGCTCTTCGCGCGTTTCTCTGAGTGAGCCGTCAAAAGCTCAGCAGCGCGTACATGCCCTGTTGGTCAAACGCGTTGGCCGCTATGTCAATGCCTCCGTGGAGCCGTTGAGTAGCGAGGACATGAAATCGTACCTGAAGAGTGGAGATGGCGAGTACTCTGCCTTCTCTGCTGTGCTGCCTTTGGGTGTGGACGCTGGCGTGCCGGAGTCCGCTGGACAAGTTGATTTGTCTGGGGCGTTGCAAGGCTTCTTTCCTGAGTTGGCAGCGCAAGTTCGAGAGCCGAGGCGTCTCCTTTTGGAACCGGGAGCACGTCCGCGGCTTCTTAAGCGCCCTTTCATCAAGTTACATCCTACCTACCAGCAGTTGGTAGCGCGCATGGTCAGAGTTGGGCTGCAGAAGCTGCGATCTGGCAAACATGTCTGGAAACACCATGGCAAGCCGTTGGTGTCAGGAGCCTTCGCGGTGCCGAAAGACGGTGCAGAGACGCGCCTTATCTCGGCGCTGTGTCCGCTTAACGACCTCATCGATGATGCCAACCTCTTTCGGCCGCAGTTTGCATACATGCCTAAGTTGAGGGCTGTTCGGACTTGTCCAGGCAAGCGGCTGGTTGTTTTCAAGCGTGATGCACGACACTATACTATCACAACTTGCGCTTGGGCCCTAAGTGGCACAAGTTTTTGGCGCACCCTCCCATTGTTGAAGCAGGTCGCACGCTGTATCCGCTTCAGCTCACGGCTCCGATGGGATTCCGGCCTTCTGCTGGTTGGGCTCAGGCGCTGACTGACGTCGCCACCAAAACGGCTCAGCTGCCGGATGACCGTCGAGTAAGGTTTGATTGGCCTGTGCCTGTTGCGCTTCCGGTTTGGGGCTCCATCCAGGATGATATTTGTCAGGCTGTTGACGAAGTTGGGCCCGAAACTAGCCCAGAAACTAGCCCTGCAGGAGCTTGGGTCCGCAGCGTTGAGAGTAGTTGGGAGGACTTGGGAGTCGCCGGCAAGGCAAAGAAGAGGGGAAATGCTGATGATCCTCTTTGTGAGTTGCAGGGGGCGTTCCTCCATCAAAACGAGCATTGGTTGGGCACCTCCTTGCAGCGCCGTTGCAGTCTTGTGTGTGCAACTTTGTACGTGCTGGGACGAGTCCGTGTTTGCGTTCAATTTGTGGAGCGGTTGGTTGGCAAGCATGGTTATTGTCAAAGCTTTAACTCTTGCACGCGGAGCACCTTTCAACAAGTTTACCGGTGGATTCAGGACCATCGGGCTCAACGCCGTGCTTTCGGTGCCTTGGATGCGGCTGCGTGGTCGGAGTTGCTCATGTCGACCATCTTGCTTGTTGATATGCAAACCGAGCTTGACGTGCCTTGGTGCCCTCGAGTCGAGTGTTATGACGCTGCGCCTGGTGGCCACGGTCGCGCTTGGTCATGCTTGTCTCTTGACGTGGTGCGTGAGATGGCGAGGTTGTCTGATTGCAAGTACCCACACACATGTTTGCACAAAGAGCATGGAGTTGAGCTTGATTCTGAGGGCAAATGCCCGATGAAGAGGCTGGTGTTGCCCAAGCATCTGCACTGGTACACGGTGCCACGCATGGGGGGTTACAAGCATATCACGCTTGAGGAGGCTGAGGCCGCCACATGGTCGTTGGAGAGTCGTTTGCAACGCCAGCATGAGCTTGGGTCTCGATGTTTGCAGGGCGGCGATAATGCCGCTCAAGTTGCAGCCTTTGGCAAGGGACGCAGCGCTTCTCGGGTCGGTGTCGTTGTCGATGCGCTGTTGTGTTGGTTGGCCAGTTTGTTCCCTTTGACTTTTGGGTGCCTACCTGCGATAACCCTGCTGACACGCCCAGTCGTGTGTACTCCACTGAGTTCCGTTCCCGCCATGCACTGCCTGCAGGCCCGACCGCTGCGGATGATCATCAGCTCGGCTGCGAGGAGGATCTGTGCTTGCAGCTCATGGGATCGCTTGCACTCACTTGTGAGCCGTTCTTGGCAGCTTCGCAGGCTGCCCCTCAATAGCAAGCTTGTTTTTCCCTGTGCGCAGACTTGCGGTCTGCGAAATCGTTTGAAGTTCAAGTTGAGGCCTTGGCTGCTGAACATGGCGCCCCTATCATTGTTCTTGACATTCACTCGGCCATTGAACCTAATCTTGATCTTCGTAGTGGCGAGATTCTCGAGTGGTTGCAGGCTCTTGTCACAGCTGGGGTTGTTGTTGGCGCCTTGGCCCGGCCACCTGGTGGCACGTGGTGTCGAGCAGGGCGAAGGCCTTTTCGCGACCCTGCTAAACCATGGACTCCAGTGCTTCATGCAAACGCGGAGGAAAAACAGCAGTGTCATGACGCCAGTCTTCTCGCCGTTGCTTGCTTAGAGGTGCTTTGGTGGGTTCATAGCTATGGGGGTTTAGTTTGCCTTCTTGGTCCTAGGCGCAAACAGGAGGCTTCCCCTTCGCTGCACAACACCTCTGAAGTTGCATGGTTATGTGAGCGCATCAATGGGCAATGTATCGGTTTTGACTTGTGCATGTTTGGAGGGTCGACTAAGGGTCCGTCACAGGCTTTGGTTAATAGGCTGGACTGTGTTGGGTGGCAATTCCTCGCACGCCTCTGTAAGCATGCCAAGGGCCATGCTCCTGTGCGCAAGCAACCCCGCCGACGCCAGGTCTTTTGCAGTGCCGTTTGCCCTGACTTGCTGTCCCAGTACTTGGCCCAAATGTTTGTTGCCTACGGGTCTGTCACCACACCGAGCCCGCCATCCAATGGATTTGAACCAAGCCCGTGGTCGGATAGCCTGCTTCCTGCTCTCCGGCTTGCATGCCAGCAAGGATAGGTATCAACAGGCCATCGCTGCTTTCTCTGAGGAGTTGGCAGCGCGTGGTGTGGCCGCTGACACCTTGTCGGAGGCGCAGTTGGACATTTTCCTTGCTGAGTACATTCTTGATTTGTTTGAGGGCAGTGAAGATAGTTCCGGCATTTCTTTCGGTGCCACGGTCATTGCTGCGATGCAAAAAGTCAATCCACGGCACAAGTACACCACGGCCTGGAAAGTTCTTGAGGTTTGGAGGTTGCGCTGCCCTCCTGCCCAAGCTGCAGCTTTTCCGCCTGAGCTGGCTCTGGGCTCTGCGGTGTGGCTTGTTCTCATGGGCCAGCCGGTTGTGGGCACTGTTATGCTGCTCTGCTTCACAGGTCTTTTCCGTGCCAGTGAACTGCTTCATCTGACGTTCCAAGATTTCTGCCTTTCTTCGGCTCAGCTGGTGGTCATCTTGGGTGTCACTAAGCGCGGTTTGGAGCAGAAGGTGTTGCTTCAACATCCTTCTGTCCTCACTTGGTGTTTGCAATATCTGGCGTATTGGATGCGCTCTTTTCCTCACTCTCCTGCTGATCGTGTCTTCCCGATTTCATTTCAGAAGCTTCAGTATTGGCTGCGAAAGGCAACTCGTGCTCTGGGCTTCAGTGACTCTTGGTCATCGCATGGCCTGCGCAGGGGGGGGGCCACTGAGCTTTTCAGACTGCGCGTTCCTCTCAATGAGATTGCGTTGCAAGGGCGTTGGCTGTCTGAGCGCTCCATGCACGAATATTTGCGCCGCGGTGAGGTCGCCCTGCTGAGGTTGCGCAGCTCTGTGCCATTAGCTGCTTGGCAGTCGGCGCGGCGCTTTGCCAGCCTTGGGCCTCATGTCTGGCAGGAATTGTCAATCTGATGCCTGTGGTGCTTTGGCAAGTTTTCGGGGGATGGTGGCAGACTCACTCGCAGTGGAGTCTGTGATGAGCGCGCGCTTTTCTCTCTCGAAGAGAGGGTGGCATCAACCTTGTTGCTTCAGGATGTGCTCTACTGACAGAGCCCATGTATGGATCTTGAGAAAAGGCGCTACAGTGCCCTCACTTGTGTTGTCCGGGAACGGGGGCTGAAGTGGGGACTCCTTCTCGTGAATTTATATATGTATTTACATTCTTGTTGAGGGGGGAGGGCGGGTGCTTTGGGTTTATGTGTTGGGGTGTTAGGTCTGTGTTTCAAGGGTTCAGGAGTGCAACTCCCTGAGCAGTGAGAGTGCATACACATCCACCCTAGTAGCATATTTCACGGCTCTGACCTCGGCACGGCACTCTAAACCCTAAACCCTGCACCCTAAACCCTAAACCCTTTGCCGAAAACGCACTCTCGCGTCGGTACCGGTGTGTCGACGGATTTCTTGGGGAGTCATTGCCGACATCACGCATCCCGAGGTTTTTGCGTCTTACATGGGGGGTTTCCGACAGTCGGGGTACCTACTTGGGGTCTTTACTTTAAGGGGATCCCAGATTTGGGGTTCTATATTGGGCTCCCCTACTTTCGTAAATCCCCCCTCCTCTCTACTTGGAGGTTCATGGTACTTATTAACCAATTGTAACTGTACTTATGAATGTACTCATTAACCATATTAGGGCACTTAAGGGGCTTATAAGGGGGTGATAAGTACAGCTATACTTGGTTAACAAGTACCCCTAAACCCTAAACCCTGAACCCTAAACCCTAAACCCTAAACCCTAAACCCTAAACCCTAAACCCTAAACCCTAAACCAAGAAGTACCATGAACCTCCCAGTACAGCGTACACTGTGCCCCTCAACCCTACATGGCCTCTCTGGTTTGAAGGCGGAGTTTAGGGTTTGGGGTTTTGGGGTTCAGGGTTTAGGGTTTAGGGCTAGGGTTTAGGGTTTAGGGTTTAGGATTTAGGGTTTAGGGTTTAGGGCTTAGGGTTCAAGACGCTGCTCAGGAGATCAAGCACGGGAGATTTGCCATGATGGCGGCCACCGGAAACCTCGCCGCGGCTTTCTTCAAGCCACCCGGCGCTGCTTCAATCCCTAAACCCTAAACCCTAAACCCTAAACCCTAAACCCCAAACCCTAAACCCTAAACCCCAAACCCTAAACCCTAAACCCTAAACCCTAAACCCCGACGCCCCAACTCCAATCTCCAAGCCCTAGACACTGAAGCTGTAAACCCTACCTGGAGGTTCGTGGTACGTACTAACCAAGTACAACTGTACGTATAAGCGTACTTATAAGCATGTTCGGACAGTTAAGGAGCTTAGAAGTAAGTATAACTGTACGTATAGGTGTACTTATAAGCATGTTCGGACAGTTAAGGAGCTTAGAAGTGGGTTATAAGGTGTACTTAGAAGCATCTTTGGGCAGTTAAGGGGCTTAGAAGTGGGTTAGAAGCACAGTTCTAACTGGTTAATAGGTGCTTCGATGGACACTTGGACTCGACACCAGAAATCCTCAACCCCGAGCACATGTACTCTAAGCCCTAAGCCCTAGGGTTTAGGGTTTAGGGTTAAGGGTTTAGGGTTTAGGGTTTAGGGTTTAGGGGAATAGACCCCAAATTTCTTGTGGCCGGCCCTGCAGCCAGACGTCTGAACCCCAAAGCCCTAATCCCTAAACCCCCCAACCCAAAACCCCAAACCCTAACCCCCAACCTGAAACCCTGATCCACAAACAAACCCTTAACCCTCATCCCCAAGCCAGAAACCCTCAACCCCAAACCCTAAACCCCAAACCCTAAACTTGGAGGATTCCAGGCTTCGAGGATGTGCCGACGGGCCTTGCGGCTCTTAGCAACCCCAAGGCGGACGGGTTCGGGGTTTAGGGTTTAGGCTTTAGGGTTTAGGGTTTAGGGTTTGGGGTTGAAGGGTTAGGGTTTAGGGTTCAGGGTCTTGGGTTTAAGGGTCACGTAGGGTTTAGGGTTTAAGGGTCAGGGTTAGGGTTTGGGTTTTGGGGTTGACGGATTTAGGTTTAGGGTTCATTGTTTGGGATTGAGGGTTTAGGCTTGAGAGGGTTTGGGGTTTAGGATTTTGGGTTTGGGGGTTGGAGTTTAGGGTTTAGGGTTAGGGCTTGGGGTTGAGGGTTTAGGGTTGAGAGGGTTTGGGGTTAGGATTGAAAAGGTTTGGGTTTAGGGTTTTGGGGTTTGGGGTTTAGGGGTTTAGGGCAAGTTTAGGGTTTAGGGCTTAGGGTTTGGTGTTTGTGGTTTGGGGTTTAGGGTTGGGGTTTAGGCTTTCAGGTTAAGGCTTCAGGGTTTGGGGTGTAGGGCTGAGATGGTTTGGCGTTTATGCTTGGGGGTTTGGGGTTTTGGGCTTGTTGGGTTTAGGGTTGCGAGGGTTTAGGCTTTAGGGTTTAGGGTTTAGGGTTTAGGGTTTAGGGTTTAGGGTTTAGGGTTAGGGTTTAGGGTTTAGAGTTTAGGGTTTAGGGCTTGCAAAAATTTAGACCGGTTTGGGGGTCGGGGTTTAATTTAGGGCTTCAGGGGCTGTACCCTTCAACCCTGAACCGCTTGAGAACCAAAAGGTTGGACCTTATCGCTCTGGCCCCAAGTGCCCAAAAGCCTCCCTAAACCCTAAACCCTAAACCCTAAACCCTAAACCCCAAACCCTAAACCCTAAACCCTAAACCCTAAACCCCAAACCCCAAACCCTAAACCCTAAACCCTAAACCCTAAACCCTAAACCCTAAACCCTAAACCCTAAACCCTAAACCCTAAACCCTAAAACCCTAAACCCTAAACCCTAAACCGCGGGTTTGGAGATCGACCCGTGAATTCTGCGCGCGCTTTGGGAGCGGCGCGGGCACGCTTTAGGGGGCGTGCTGCGACCGCTGTCGCGTTGCCCTGGTGGGCACGTCGCATCCAGACCAGCCTCACACGTGTTGCGCCATGCAGACATTGCAGGATGCGCTGTTGCAGCGTCCTGCGACCGCGGCGACTGCGGATGGGTTGATAACCCCAAACCCTAAACCCTAAACCCTAAACCCTAAACCCTCTAGCCCGAGCGCCCCCCGCTTCGTGGCATGGAGAAGCCTGGAGAAGCCGGTGCGCTTATACAAGGCCAGCTTGGCAGCTATGGGTTTAGGGTTTAGGGTTTAGGGTTTAGGGTTTAGGGTTTAGGGTTTAGGGTTTAGGGTTTAGGGTTTAGGGATGCCTGGCAAATTGAGCTGGGTCCCCTCCACCGGCGCGGCTCGTTGTGGGGGGGGAGAGAGAGAGCGCGGACTAAACACTAAACCCCAAAGCCTAGACCCTAAACGGCCCTAAGCGGCCGTGAAAAGAACCTTAGACCCTAAACCCTAAACCCTAAACCCGAAACCCCAAACCCCAAACCCCAAACCCCAAACCCTAAACCCTAAACCCTAAACCCTAAACCCTAAACCCTAAACCCTAAACCCTAAACCCTAAACCCTGAGCAGGGCCAGGAGGGCTTCGCCTTGCTGTTCTTCCTCATCGCCGGCCACGAGGTGCAGCCGATGTGGGCTTCGAGGTTTAGGGCTTAGGGTTTAGGGTTTAGGGTTTAGGGTTTAGGGTGACTTAAGAAGAGTGCGTTTTTTTGGGGGTTTAGGGGTTTTGGGTTTTGGGTTTTTAGGTTTTCGGGGGGTTTAGGGTTTTAGGTTGTTGGGGTTTAGAGTTTCAGAAACGGGTCGGATAATTTCTGATAGTACTCCCTTGCAGTCCCTATATCACGATAATCACCCACAAACCCATTTTTTTCAAATTGTTAAGGCCCCTATCGTAGGGGTTTTGGGTTTGTGGGATTTAGGGTTTTGGGGTTCTGGGGGTTTAGAGTTTGGGTTTTTGGGGTTTAGGGGATTTCTGGTTTAGTATTTTGGGTTTTTGGGGTTTAGGGATTAGGGGGTTAGGGTTTGGGGTTTCGGGGTTTAGAGTTTTGGGTTTTTGGGGTTTAGGGTTTAGGGGCTCTAGGTTTTTGCAGGTTTATGATGATGATGATTATTATTATTCATTTTTGTTTTTTTCGGGGTGGGGGGGGGGGGGGGGTCGGGGGGGGGGGGGTTTTCGGGGTTTAGGGGTTTTGGGGTTTCGGGGGTTTTGGGTTTTAGGTTTTGGGTTTTGGGTTTTTGGGGGTTTAGAGTCTTTTGGGTTTAGAGGTTTTGGGTCTGGGATTTTAGGGTTTAGGGGTTGATCTAAAGGTCCTTCTTGGGAAACTATTAAGGGCCTGCATGTGGTTTCAGAACCCCAAACCCCAAACAAAACTTCAAACCCCCAACCCCCAAACCCCAGACCCCAAACCCCAAACCCCAAACCCCAAACCCCAAACTCCAAACCCTAACCCTAAACCCTAAACCCTAAACCCCAAAACCCCAAACCCCAAACCCTAAACCCTAAACCCCAAACCCCAAACCCCAAACCCTAAACCCTAAACCCTAAACCCTAAACCCTAAACCCTAAACCCCCTAAACCCTTGACCCCCTAAACCCTAAACCCTAAACCCTAAACCCTAAACCTAAACCCTAACCCTAAACCTAAACCCTAAACCCTAAACCTAAACCTAACCCTAAACCCTAAACCCTAAACCCTAAACCCTAAACCCTAAACCCTAAACCCTAAACCCTAAACCCTAAACCCTAAACCCTAAACCCTAAACCCTAAACCCTAAACCCTAAACCCTAAACCCTAAACCCTAAACCCTACCTGAAGAGGCCGTGACCTGGAAGCCGCAGAAGGGTGAGCCGGGCAGCTTTGGCGACCCGCAGCCTTGCTGCGGCCATGGGTTTAGGGTTTAGGGTCTTTAGGGTTTAGGCTTTAGGGTTTAGGGTTTAGGGTTTGGGGTTTAGGGTTTAGCGTTTAGGGTTTAGGGTTTCGGGCCGTTTAGGGCCGTTTAGGGGGGTTTGCGTTTGTGGGGGTTGAGGGCTTTTACTCGTACGGTGTTTAAGGTGTTTAGGGT